TAGGTCACGTTGGAACAACGGTACCACAAGTGTCGCCAGCTTCAGCGAAAATTGGCCGACAATTTATTTTATAACTGTTATTCCACCGCGTAACTGGTTATGTGAAATGAAACCACAATTCTTTGACCGCCCATTATTTCGTAATCTTTCTTTTACTGATACATTAATTAGATCGTGATGTACCTAATGATTATGAAAATTTCATGAAAAGCAATTATGTAATATTTGTATTATATATATATATATATATATAGTATTTAGATCAAACTAATAGATATATATAATTACATTTAGATTATTTAGAATAAGAAATCTTGCCATAAAATTTCATATTAAGTAGATCCATTTTTTTATAGAAATCGAGTTACAAACGAGCACAATCCACCTGATGTAAAAGCATAGATATCTACATGTTTTTTTATAGGATAGGGTGACAACCGAGCACACAATTCACCTGATGGTAAGTGGTATATACCTCTATATCTATCCTCGTTTGCAAATCAAAATGCAGATGCGTTGTCAGTCGTGAGGACTAAGATGGAATGCCTCATTTCCAGTAAAAAGCGTATCCGGTTCTCTACACTCATCATACAAAACTATTTAACCCTAGTATTCTGTTAAAGCATGGTCCTTCCCCAGTCGAGCCGACCGATTCGTGCTAAAACTATACTACTGATATAGCTGCAGCATAGCTCTACCACGTACAAAACATAAATACTTGTTCCATGCGGTATTCAACACCGTGGCTCTTAGTGCCGCAAATAATTTCTAAGCCACTCTGCCACACGTCCTACTGTGAGTGCAGTGAGATATATAAAGTCTGTTACTTTAATTTTAATGGTTTTCGTTTTTTGTGTGGTTTATTTAATGTGGTTCGGAAAATACCTCTATCTTGTGAAGAACCAGCAAGAAACCCAGCGGTACATTTTTTGAAAAAAATAAGAACCGTTTACAATCACATCATCTTTGGACATGAACTTCTCCCGTTGTATGATGTATTTGCCACATTCATCACCTTGACCTTGATTGCCAATCGTAATACCAGCGTTTTACACCTTTGTCACCGGTGTGGGTATTATACTTATGTACTGTATAGGAAACCACAATATTACTCCGACATTAGCTATACACTCACGGGACAAAACATTGTAATGGATCATACTCGTAATATAACCGCCGCCACACTGCATACCTTACTGAATAAACAGCAATATAGTGGTTTATTGAAGAAATAGTTCCCAATTTGCTATCTCCAACTAGTAAACACTGTGTAATCAATAACTTTAAGTAGACCAACCACAGGCTTAATTAATCCAAAAGAAAATCTAGTGGTTGACTAAGATGTTTTTAAGTTGATAGTATTTTTGTCAAGTATATTTTGCATTAGCAAGAGGAAGCCTGTAATATTCAGAAATAAACTTACGAAAAGCTACAAAAATGAAGATATTGTTGATAATGGAAACGACGACAAGCATATTTAGACAAGTTAGAATGTTCACTCTAACTTGTTTAAATAAGCTGTTAAAGTTCTTTAAAAGTGTCATTAAATATCACAGCATACATAATATTGCTACTATAATTATTAAGAAGGTATCTTGAAACCGCAGTCTGCAGGTTACACATAACAAGCAAAGCCGCAAGAAATCTAATCTCCGAGAAAGTAGATAGCTAAATTACTATCAAGGTTTCTTTCAAAGCACTTCTATATCATCCACAAGTAACTTCAAAGGGTCCTATAACCCAACCACTTAATACCATTAATCATTATCATGCGGAACGCGTTCGGCACAATGCAACGGCGTGGCTTCCAAGAAACAATGTTATATTTGTGGCGACCATAGTTTATCGTACGGTATTCCGGTCCGGCTCCATCTACATCTGTATTGATGAGTAGCGAATTAATATGGGAAAGTCGCACACAAAACAATCGAGTAACGAAGTGGTCTTAGAAGAGATATGCGAGTAGAATTTACGACTAACATTTCTTGCTGGCATAGTGATACGTTGAGGAGAAGGAATATATTAGCAAGATTTTTTTCAATATTAAGAGAGTAGATATTTTTTTACGTGGTAGAGCCATGCTCCAGCTATATTAGTAGTATAGTTGTAGCACGAATGGGTCGGCTCGACCGGACCACGTTCTCACAGAATACCAGCGTAAAATAGCAGCTTAACACTTCTGTGTTTCGCATAGTGAGTCTAGAGAACCGGAGACCCTTTTTACTGGAAAAGAGGCATTCCATCTTAGTCCTCACGAGTAACAACGCATCTGCATTTTGATTCACAAACGAGGATAGATGTAGATGTCTATGGGCTACAGCAACCACTTACCATCAGGTGGACTATGTGTTCACTTTGTCACCCTCTCCTATAAAGGAAAATTAGAGTCACCATTTCTCGTCACTAACCGTATGATACAAAGCTGTATATTTTATAAAAACAAGCAACAAGGGTGAAAAACGAGCACAAACTCCATCAGACGATAAATGGAAGCTGTGACTCATAGATATCTATATCTATCTTTAACTAAGAATGAAAATGCAAAATACGTCTAGGATAGATGGGATTGCTTCGTTTCCAGTAAAAAGGGTCTTTGATTCTCTACACTCACTATTAGATAGCCGTGGTAGCTCAGAGGCTTACTGTTCGCTGTAAATTTCACAGTATGCGAGCAATCCGGGTTTGATCCCCGTCGGCACCAATAAAATTGTCAATTTTGTGTTGTGTAATTAAGTGGTGATTTACCACGTGCTCGGCGGTGAATGAAAACGTCGTGAGGAAACCTGCATGTCTGAGAAATAAATAAAAATAATATTTCAAAGATATGTGAAGTCCGCCAACAACACTGGAGCAGCGCGGGGGACACTACCTTGCCCCAAAATGCTCTCAGAATTGAGAAGAGGTCTTTGCCCATCAGTGGGACGTATATAATCTGTAACTTTACTTTACTTGATCTACTATTAGATACATAGTAACAAATTACGCTACTATTTCATGTTGGTTCATGTTGTATAATTTTTAATTGAGGATAGACCTACATGTCTATGCGTAAAAACATCCCCTTACCTTAACGTGGACTATGAGCTCTTGTCCCATCAAACTTTATGTACTATTTGACTAAACAATATAACAAAGTTTTTAAGATAATAACTTTGATTAAGCAATGTGCTTAAATCTAATATCGCTGTTTTAGCGTATCAGATACAACGGTTCCTTAATTTATTTTTGAAAAGATTATTCCAATTTCAAAAACAAAGCAAATTTTTTTTAACACAAACATAGTTATCATCATTACAACCTTTCACAAGTCCACTACTGGACATTGGTCTTACTTTATTACATATTAGCACTACCTTTATAGATAGGTGAAAGGTTACTTAGAAAGTAAACAGTGTTATTAATGTAATTCAAACTGAATTACAATTGTAATGTCTGAAAGTACTAAGTAGCTTTATTTTCTTCGCACGCTCCTGTTTTACATTTTCTAGCACTCAGTACGTATTTGTGACCCACTGACTTTATAAAAGCAAGGCTTTCAACTTCCTAATAAGAAAAATCCGAATAAATTTGAACTTTTAATTAAAAAAATCACAATAATAGCTTCAGAAGTCGGTGCTAAAACATAGTGTGTCGACGAATTACAAGTATGTAAGTCCCCGATTTCAGAGGCTACTACATATGTGGAGATAATTTTATTTTATTTTTAGTTTTTGGAGTTGGTTTATACTTTATAATATAATTTTAATCTTTTTACCGTTTTGAGTGGTCTAATAAATATCACTAGTGCAATGTAGCAACTAGAATGTAGTTTAAATATGGATATCAAAACCTTCATCCATCCCGTTTCATCAAATTTGTCTGGAACCAAACCTAAAGTTTGAATAGTTTAACCGTTTCCCTAAATCAGTGAATATATCTCATCGTTTACTGACTCCATACATTATTATTTTTTTATATTTTTTTTACAACATCTGTGATGTCGGTGACTTCATGTAGGTCGCATAAGAAAATTCATAACGGGTTAACTGTGTCCATTAAACATATATAACAAAAACATATAATAAACCAAAAAGCTAACTAAAAATATTTTCTTCAATTCATTCATTACAGTCTATTCGTTCCAGAGCTGAATATGGCCTCGCCCAATTGTCTCCTCGGCGAGATATTTGCCTTAGTGACAACACATGAAAGACGTTTTTATAATTATTGACTTGTTGCCAGAAAGAAGTTGTTACTTACAAACACAACAAAACATTTTCAAACTGAATTACAAATACATACTAACGAACAAATTATATTACTTACTAGGTGGAAAGACTCCTTTTCTGGAACTCCTTTGAGGAGTTTGTCTGAGTAGGTCCCTCTTATCTGTATCGGCCGCCATAAAGCAGTGCTTTATTGTTTCAGACTGTGAATTCGTAGTTTATAAATATATTTGTAGCCGTTTTTTGTTTGCAGTAGCCATTTACCTGGTGGTGGACTATTGATTCGTTTATCACTTCAGTTTAATTTAAAAAGAAACGTGCATGACTTTTCTTTGCTTCGAATTAAAAAGATTCTTTGAGATACGCGAAACGCAAAAGTTTATTAACGTACAAACACACACATGTACACAGACATTCTTTTAAAAACAATAGACTATTTATATTTAGAGGCTATTCTCCTATGGACCTCAAAGCTTGGAAATATATTGATATTTAGATTTTACAGTATGTCTGTACAAACGTAAACTTAATCTGAAAATTAAACACAAGAAATTTCTTCAGAAGAAGAAAAACTTACGGTTAATTTGTGTGACTTATGTACTCCAGGTCATTGTACTATTCATGTACATGCCATTTTCTTTAAATGGTTATATTATAAAATTAGAACTAAACAACAACTTAAGAATTCTGAGAACATTGTGTGAGAAAACTGTACAATGTTTGAATTATAATTACATTTGTATTTTTAATTTCATTTTTTTTTTGTATTGTTACAGTGAATTGACATTGGAAGGTATGGCAAATTGTGGGGGATGGAGCGAAGAGCCAGTCTCAAAGGTACATCTTTCAATATTATACTTTTGTTTTATAACATACATCTTCTTTCTCTTTATCGGAAATATTGTAGTTGTGTTACCAACTCATTAAAAAAACACCACGCTCTTAAACCGTGCTGAATTGGGGTAAATCGCTAGTCACGAGTAATCTTTTCTCTTGTTGCCCTCAAGAACATCAGATAAATTGATAAATATTTCTTGTATTTACGTGAAGAGTACACCTGGAATAAAACTTATCGCGTTGAATTTTAACTTTTTTAAATGCCCGAACGGGGAGGACTGAAGTGTTTGACGTTCTGATGTCATTATTAACAGACACTACCTTCAACTTTTATTTATTCATTTTTAGACCGATCTACGCAGAACGAACTTATATTATTTTGAAGTATTGGGTTTTGATGTTATTTTATTAATATTATGGAATCTCAAGCAGATGGTCCCCAGCCATCTTTTCTATTGAAATTCGAATGTTTTTGTAATTTCCATAGCTTCGTGAATTAAACTTAGTAGGAATCGGTGTTCTTTTGCGAGAATTTGTGGTCTATCAAATTTGATATAATGGTTGAGACGATCCTGAACATGTTGACATATACTTGCCGGAGGAGCGATGCTTCATTTTTTATATAAGAGGTTTTAAGAGGATTTTTTATATTATAAACGAGCATGCTGCTCACCTGATGGTAAATAGCCATCGCCGCCCACAAACAACTGCAACACCAGGAGAATTGCAGGTGCGTTACCGGCCTCTTCAAAAAGAGTATGCTTAACACATCAGCGACATGTTAGAACATGTAAAAATTAGTAGTACATGTAAAATTAGTTTTATTCCATCAACATGAATGACTAAGAATTTGCAATCGAATAGTGCAAATGGGCATATCCTCATAATTTTATAAAACCATTTCATTGCTATGGCATGTTGAAACGCGGTAAGGTATCTCGCAACGAAATCGAGAGCGTGCGACCGATTAATTATGATCACAATTGTACAGTGTGGCGGAGTTTCGTCAAAAATCCGACACGGAATTAAAAAGAGATTGCATAAACTGATACGGTATATTAAGGATTTCTGAGATTAAAGCTGTTATATCCATCTGTAAAGGGCCACATTTCTTTGTTTGCCATCCATTCAATCGTCTCTCTTAAGCTTTAGGGACTAATTTAGTGCATGGTGTGTGTATCAACGGTTTCACCTACGTAAGTCCAACAAAAAAATATTACTTAAAATAGGAATCTTCATTTAGGCTAATTTTCTTTCCTATAGGATTTCGTAAAATTTCGCTATGACAGCGTTCTCAGCTCTGTCGCACCGATCTGTTATGGTATTTATTAGAGGATAATTAGTGTAGCTGACGATAGCGCAATACAAAAACAAGGCTCATGTTCATGCCTAGCTTATAGGCGTTGAGTGCAGTAAAAATGGAATTATTAATCTTCTCCTTTCTTTTTTTATTTTGTTGAAGTCGTCTAAAAACTAATTTTAATTTTATGAATGGTGAAAATCTAAATGCGACCATTATCTTTTCTTACAACTCATACACGTACATTAATATAGTACGTGTCAAAATGATAACCATCTATCATTGTGTATGCGATTATGCAATTTTTGAAGCGGTGCGAATTTCCCACATAAATTTGCATTAAGTTGAATGAAGTATCTATAGCGAAAATAATGTTTTGTTATTTTTATCGCTATGTTCCTTGCCTGTTATGGATATTATAGTTGTGTTATGTATACGAATTAATAAATTTGAAATGTCTGTTTGTAATGTCAAAATAACAGCTTTTTACTAAATGCATATGAAAGTGTATACGGTACTTATAACAAAAACATAATTTTTAAAATTTTTGTCTGTCTGTGTGTCTGTCTGCTTTTTCCGGCTAATCTCCGAAATGGCTGGACCGATTTTGACGGGACTTTCACTGGCAGATAGCTGATGCTATAAGGAGTAACATAGGCTACTTATATTTTAGAGAAATAAATAGGGTTCCGAGCAACATTATTAAAACCCTAAATTACCGCGGGCGAAGTCGAGGGTAACAGCTAGTTGTATGTAAGTTTAAGATTGACGCCAAAATCACTACCAAACACTATCCATCACCGTTATAATTAATTTTCATCATTATCCTAATTTAAAAAGTAATGTATTTTATGTTTGTTTTCCTATTTAATACCTATATCTAAGTCTATCATATATATTTATTTATGTTGTATATATTAGTGTATTACTGTCTCTTATAATATAATAATACATATATTTAGATTCATTTTAGATATAAGTTGGTAGCTTATTATAATATTCCACATTCCACAATGTGTTTCGTATTTGTGGTATACAATAAAGTATATATATATATTTTTTTTTTCATAAAAAAATCTTGAGGATACATGCATGTCTGAAAAACTATAAGGAGGTTAACAACCAGCTGTGGGTCGTACGTAGACCGTTATTTTACTATTTGAAACCCACTATCTTATATTTTAACTCGTAATCCGCGTTATTAGAGGCTGTTAGTCTTGCCACTGAGCCACGTGGTCGTTTTTAATTAACGTTATAACGAATAACGTTGTATACGATTTTCTCATAAACATCGATAGCCTTCTAGATAAAGAAGACAAGTGGCGCTTAATTGCTTTTTATGGGAACGCGATAAATCGTGATAGGGTTTATAAATAAACGCTCGGTGACCGCGTGGTGGTTGGGTGAGATATAATCTTCGGTTCAAACCGTTAATTCTGTGGCAGTGTAGAATTATTAAAGAATAAATAATGTAGGAACTAAATAGAATTTCTTGCACTGTTTAGTTAAAAGTAATGATTAATGATGATTTCTTATATTTACGCGAACCCTACACATTGAATAAAACTATTTTTACGGATATTATCGCGTTTAATTTGCTATTTTAATTCCCGACGTTTTGGGTGCTTTGCAGCAACCCATGGTCACGGGGGGCCTGAGATGTTTGACGTCCTGATGTCACAGTTAGCCCGGCTACCTTCAGGTTTTTAATATTCATTTTTGGTTCGATTTACGAAGAATGAACTTAGCAATGACGTCATAGCTGACGTGAAGCACCGACGCTCTGGGAAGTCTGCAGTGTGTAATTATCTCCGCCATTACATCAGATTTGATAGACCACAAATCCTCGCAAAAGAACACCGATTCCTACCAAGGATGATACGCGAGCCTATTGAAATTAAAAAACACCCTTATTTCAACAGAGAAGATGGATGGGTGCTGCCATCTACTTGGGATCCTATAATTAACAAAATTAAATCCAAACCCAAGCATACCTCTGCAAGACTTCAAGATACTGTAAGTTCATTCTGCGTAAATCGGACCAAAAATTAATATTAAAAAGAAGGTAGCCAGGCTAACTGTGACATCGGGACGTCAAACATCTCAGTCCCCTACGTGACCATGGGTTGATGTAAAGCACCCGCAACGTTGGGAATTAAAAAAGTAAATTAAACGCGATAAAATCCGTAAAAAAATAGTTTATTCAATGATTAATGAAGCAAAAGATAAAGCGCTCCTCCCTGTTTCTGAAATGCTTTTAATGGGGATAAGCGCTTGCCCTAACTTTCAAAGTAGACAAGCAACCCGATGATTCCCGCCAATACTGCAGTGGGAGCTGTAAGTTTATCACTTTAGTTTTATAAAAAAAATACATAATTTTTTTCTGAAATGTTAGTGAGTGAATATATATATAGACGGCGGTCATAACGACTTAATTACAAATTACGACTAATGAATTCATTCCACCATCGATATTACGAAAGCAATTCCTCTAATTACCCGTTCGTAATTTCCTTATAGGTAAGTAATCCTTCACCCTATTTCGCTCCGTAGATTTCGTAAGAGACGAACATGGAAAATTCTAGAAAACTTTAATGGCATCCACGGGCATGGCTCGAATGGGTCGCCTCGACCGGGGAAGGACCACGCCTTCACAGTATACCAGCGTAAAATAGCAGCTTAATGTTTTTTTTTTATAGGATAAGATGACAAACGAGCACTCAGTCCACCTGATGGTAAGTGGTTACTGTGGCCCATAGACATCTACATCTATCCTCGTTTGCGAATCAAAATTCAGATGCGTTGTCACCCGTGAGGACTAAGATGGAATGCCTCTTTTCCAGTAAAAAGGGTCTTCGGTTCTCTACACTCGCCATACGAAACAGCAGTGTTAAGCTGCTATTTTACGCTGGTATTCTGTGAGAGCGTGGTCTATGCTGTTAGATTTCGTATGACGAGTGTAGAGAACCGGAGACCCCTTTTACTAGAATTGAGGCATTCCATCTTAGCCCTCAGGATGACAACTCTGCATTTTGATTCTTGATCGAAAAAGAATGTTCGTATCTATGAGCCACAGCATCCACTTACCATCATGTAGACATTGTGCTTGTTTGTCACCTTACTCTATAACAAATAAAAATCCCTACATACCTTTATACTTCACATATAGATAGCAATAATTCTTTTATTTTTTATACGTTATCCGCACACTAGGATTTTCTCCTGAATTATAGATACAGATTACTTAGACATTGCACAATAATAAACATTCAGACCCAAAAAAATATTAGTAGACTATACAAATACTTATTCCCTGCGGGATTCGACCCCGCGGCCCCCAGCGTCTCAGCTCAATGCTAAACAACTGCGCCACAGTCATCAAATAATTTATACGACATTTTAAATGTAGATTCATTAAAGGCACTAACATAAAGCAATAACATATTTAATTTTAAGAATTCAATAAGTACTTAACTGTCTAAATTCGTCGCGTAGTGACGGTGCAAGAGAATTCACTACCCCATGTAAATCTAGGGTGTCCTAAGAGGTGACAGTTGGAAATAAAATAGGAAAGGGATGGCGGCATCCTTTTGATAACAACACAAAATAATAAAAAACTGCGGTTTCCAACCCACTAGCCAAGCGTGGCAACTATCCTTTTTTGAGGTAATCTATGGGGAGGCCTATGTTCAGCGGTAGA